TCATAAAGACCCAATACTTTATTATTTGGTTTGATAATTGCCAAGGATTTCCCACAGAATCCCCTCCCCCAATACCCCCAAGTGAATCCATCCCACTACTACACAAAATAATACTTCTTTCCCTCTGAGTTAACAATGAAAGGATATTTTTTACAGATCTCTGCAATATAATGTTTACAAGTTCCTTGAAGATATGATTATAATAAATGGTGACAGATGTCTGTACATTGTAGAGTATTTTGTACATGTTTTGTATTTACTGAGGCCAAATAAAAATAATAGTTGGTTTCAGGTTTCACAGCCATGTTTTATATGGATAGGTAGGTGGGAACAGCATTTTATTTAAAAAATATTTTATGTCAAGTATGCAATAAATATAAGTTGTTTATGAGTAACTGTCACCCATAATCAGACGTGCCACCACCCGCGAGCTACACAATTTTGCGAGAAACAAACGCATGATTAAATTATGAGCAAACAAAATAATTTGTAGCAAATGAGTGTGATGACTATTTATATATTCTGAAATTTACGAAAAGATGTCAATAAAATGTTTATGGTCAGTCATATTTTTGACAGGTTGGTCAGAAACCTGAAACCAACTATTATTTTTATTTGGCCTGAGTACTTTTTATAATATTCAGACAATAGATAAATTTGTATCATAATTAAATTTGTATCAAAATCTGTAATTTAATAAATATTACATCTTGTTTAATTTCTTGTTTTCTTTAGTAGCCTGCAAGAAAAGATCTTCTTAGAAAATCTGATATTTTTGAAAACTTATTACATGTATATACACAAGGCCGTTGGAAGTAAATTAATATTGGGGTGGGGTCTCAAGAATAAATTTGAATTGCTTTTGCACTTTTCTAGTTCTTTTGTGTGTGTTTGCTCATACAAATGGAATATGGAAAGAGGGGGGGGGGGGGCTCATGCCACCCCGCCCCCCACTTCTGACAAGCTTGATACATGATCTAATTGGTACCTCGGTAGGCCCCACCCACCTATGTTTTTTCCCCAATGAAATTATTAATAAGAACAGCATGTTAAAAGAGGGTCAAACATGGGGGATATTTCTGCGAAAGCTGGCTTTGCCTGATAAGAGAGATATCCCTATGTATAGCACTCACCATTTGAATCACTCAAACCTGATACTGATTAAGTGCACAAGGGTTTGTTTTGAAAAATGCATTAATGAAACCAAGTCGGTATGGTGTTAAGCCTCAAAAACGGAAAGCAATAGACTTGGCATAGACCCTTGACCCTTCCTGCAAGGCATCAACTATTTCGCAGACCTCAGAATGACATTTCGTCAAAACTTTTTTCTTCAAGATTTAGAAAGAAATTTGGAGTAGGGTTAGGGTAAGGATTATGGTTACAGTTGGTGTTTGGAGTAGGGTTAGTGTTAGTAAACCTGTTGCTTTGTTTAATACGTTTTGTCATTCTGAGACCAGCGAAATAATCTCTTCCTTCCTGCAAGGGGTGCAACCAATAAAATTCCCTATAGGTAAATTTGCAAGGGATGCATGCAATTATGCAAACACAATGGTGAAAACAATTAATATATTCAAGATGGCATCCTTAACCTTGCTACTTGCACATGGTGCAACGGCTATAAAATGATTGATTAATAGAAATTAATTTAACATATTTTACCTGAGATTCGACAGGGATTATTTTGATCAGCAGTGGCATGCTGGCAGGGGGGGGGGGGGCCCCCCCCCCAGCTGGCAATTCTTGGGGGGGG